TTTGGCTGGGAGCAGCAATCGCTGCTCAGGGGCTGGCTGGGCATCAGTCAGTGGGTGGCAAGTGGTTGCATCACTTGTTTTTCCTAGGTTTTGCTTCTCTTTTTTTTTTTTTTAAATTTTCCTTTTCATTACAATTTATTTTTCTTGTTCTTATTATTTTATTTTAATCATTAAACTGTTCTTATTTCAACCCACAAGTTTTCTTACTTTTATGCTTCCAATTCTCTCCCCCTTCCCACTAGGGGGGAGGGTGAACAAGAGGCTGTGTGGTGCTTGGTTGCTGACTGGGGTTAAACCACAACAGGTAGTAAGGGACAAGGCTCATATGCTCTCTCTAAACAGCCTCTCCTTCCTAATGCCGCAGTTAGAAAGAACACACTGGGCAAGATGGACCATTGGTCTGAACTCTCAGGACACTTCTTATGTTCTGGTTCTCTGCAACTTGTCCAGAGAACAGGCTGTCACACAGACATTCATGCCTCCACTCTAGCTAGGAGGCTGTTAGCACAGACCACAGGAATACAAAACAGAGCTTGACTACGTGGAAACTGTTATAAAACCGTTTTCTGTACAAAAGTTTTAACCAACACTTAAAAATGGGTCAAGTCTGCTCTCATCTACACAGGTCTAAGTGTTCACTTGCAAGGAGTTACTACATATGCAAAGCACTTGAAACTGAGATCAGAATTTTTGGTCACAGAGAGCTTTCATTTAAAGTTACTTCCTGTGCTAAGAATGGGTCAGCACAACTAGGTTGGATATGCAGCGAAATCACACCCCTGCCATTTTGATTTCCAGCTCAGGCTGTTTTGCTGCAAAATTACCTAGAATTCACACAGTTCGTCACAATTCTCAGATGTCTCATTTTTGTTCTTTAATATTTGCAATTACAAAATCACCAGAAGTATATTTTTTGAGGACAAAATTAATTTGGATAAGGAACAGCAGCATCAAAAAAATCAGAAAATTGCATAAGCCTGGCTAACTTCCTTGCCTACATCAATGATCAGATAGATAAGGAGAAGCTGGAGTCGGCCCAGTGGAGGGCTACAAAGGAGGTCAGGGGTCTGAAGCACATGACCTTTGAAAAAGGTGGAAGGAATTGGGCTTGTTCAGCCTGGTAGAGAAGCGGCTGGGGTGATCTAACAGCAGCCTGCAGCTACTTGAAGGGCAGCTCCAGAGATGATGCAGACAGACTCTTCTTGGAGGTGGTAGTTGATACCACAAAGGACAATAGCCACAAGCTGCAGAAACTCAGCTCGGACATTCAGCTTTGGGAAATTCAGATCAGACATTAAGAATAAATTCTTCCCCAAGAGTGCCATGCAGTCGTGGCACAGGTACCCAGAGAGATGACGCATCTCCTTCCCTGGAGGTTTTCAAAACTCATGTAGAAAAATGGATGGCTGACCTTACTGAGTGTTGGCAACAGCCCTGCTTCAAGCTAGACTAGCAATCTCCAGAGGTCCCTTCCCACCAACAGTCCTGTGATTCTGTGATGTACTTCATTATACTGTGTATCACTCAAATGCCATGCACATGGTACAGCTTCAGCCTCTTGAGCTGCCTGAAGCTCACTGCTGTAAGGACAGGAGGCGATGTTCCACCCACATTTTCAGTAACTGCATTCCCACTCTAACAGAACAGTATACAAGGGTATGAAAAGCCACGTTCAATTAGAGCTCTCTAAAAAGAAAGAATTCTCCCTAGGTTTCCCATTTAGCACACACCTTTGTGCCTGTTACACAAACAATGGAGAAACACAATACACTCCTGCTTCCAAAGAGCTGACAGCTAACTAGATTAACTGTAGTCACACCACTAATCTTGTTCTGCAGCTGGGGCCTTGGCCTACATCTACAAGGGCATTACATTCACAAGTACACTGGTGCTCTGGAACAGCTATTTCTGCCACTTAAGTCCACGGATGCTCTGCATGTAATTCACAAGGCAGGAATATTAGGTGGTCCTGTTATTGGACCACATCCCTTCTATTTAAGTGAAAATTGTTTGCCTATCTGTGGATGGAAAGAATAAAAACCATCAGTGTAATCCCCAATTCATCAAGAAATTGAGTAAGGATAACTGTAATCATGATTCCTCTATGTAAAGCAAGCAGATAATTATACAGAAATAGCCCCAAAGATGTTGCTTTACAATCAACTCAGGGTAAATTAGACATCTTATAAAAACCCACTGAAAAAGGGCATGAATTTAGTTTGCACAGTATCATAACTTACCAGAGATCCTACAAATAACAGTCCTAGAGAAGCTAAAGACAGCAGGATGTACGATACCACAATGCTCCCGATTCTAGTCAGGTCCTGTGAAACAACAGAATTGATAATGATTCATAAAATATTTAGGGGCCTCATATGGTGTCTTTCATGCATGTTCTTGGCAAACTGTGTATTCATTCTTGAATTTCCCATGTAGATTTAGTCACACCATACTCCTGTCCATGGAAAAGCCACCACCACCACCAGAAAAATTCCAGACTTTGGAGAAGACTGAAATTGAAACCATCTCTAACCCCCAGCATCTCAGAAGGTCTAAAAACCAGATCTCAAATGTGAAAGCAAACAGGGTATCTGCTTCCTACCCTCATGCATTGCCAAAATTGAGATCTGCGTCCATGATTCATTTTTGCAGCCTGGCCCCATGTTTCATTGCCACAATCAGTGTGATTTTATGCTTTGGCAAAGGGCTTTGAAGAAAGTTTACTACTATTCCCGTGTTTGTGGGTCCCCACAAAAAAGCCAGCAACAGAGGACTTTTCTACATTTTCTACACATTCTGTGAAATGCCATCGGTTTCATTCACAGCACTGGCAGCGAAATTCACTCTGATGTCTTAGTCATATTTAAGTAGTTCACAGTTCAGCCTATTCTCAGTAGTAGGTGCAAAACACAATTCTAATGGGCTTCAGTGGGCAAGAAATTTTACTCTGTTTCTGACCTACTAGCACAGCTAAAGAGAAATTCAGAGTTAAGAGCTTTCATTTCCTTATTTTAACGCCACAAGATTTCTTTGCCTTCACTGTTTTCAAGTCTAAATTTGTACTGTAAATAGTGCTATAATAAACAGTCCTCAAAGATATGTATGAACATCCGCACAGAGTCATACTTGGGGTGTTCTTGTGGTGCGTTCTAGGAATCAGTTTCCTCCACACTGAACACTTATTTTAAGTCAAAATCCTATCACTCAGGAATTTTCTGTAAGGAATAATTTGTTAATAATTGACTCACTGCAAATAAGGTACAGGCAATGCTCTATGAAGAGCTCTGTGCATAATAAATCCAACTAAGAAAGGGCAAAGAAAAAGTGCTTCTTTCAAATAAACAAAAGAGCAGGTGACATACAGCATGTAAACAGTGTTAAGCGAACACAGAAAACAGTCTCCACTGCACTTCAGCCACAAGAGGCACTGAGTCAGATTTCTTATTTGTACTGCATAGTCTCTGCTACAAAGATTATGTACAATTGAATTTAAACATCTGGATAGAAAATATATTTTGCCTGATTTATGAAAGTAGCTGCTTGCTATTTAATTAAGGTTCTGTCCACACTAGAGAAATCTGCACTGGGTATAATTACCCCCAGTAATTTATCAGATGAATCATACGGTATACATGTCATTATGTCATGGTGAGAAGCTAAGCAATTTTACTTGGGGAACTTTGCAGATATAATTGAATCTGTACACCTAGTACACCTGAAATACTTTTACTGCACATAGATATGCTCTAAACACTCAAGAAAAATAGAATTTTGCCACCCAGTATCTTGTGATTTACACCCTTTACATGGGTTGATCCATTCTTCCAGAATTTAAGCTTCTATCCATCCTAATAAATTAAGTTCCAGCTCTCCCTTTATTGTGGACTAAACCTTACTGGGCTGATTTCTTATTGCTTTGTTTCATTTGTAATCATTTGCACATTATGAAAGATCTGCTGTGCTGATCTAATGTCATAGCCAAAAATTCAGCCCTGTATCTTGAAGATAAAATACGGATCTGTTTTCAGAAAACTCTTTTCACCATTTCAGGACACACACACAATGCAGCAGTCACTATATTATATGAAGTACATGTTTATTATACTTTTAATCAGAATAGATATTCGAAGCACCACCCAAGGCTACTGACATCAACTATATAATCAGAGAGGAGTACAGGGACTTACCTCCCCTTGATCTGACAAAAACTGTTTAAACGGGGTAAGCAAGTAAGACAGCAGGTCAAAGGCATTCTGAGCTGCTGGGATGGTCCCATAAGTGCTGTACCACAGCATCATGCAGAGAAGCTGTGTAATCAATCAGAAAATACATAATAAGCATCTCTCATTATACAAACATTCATTTTCATTTCAAGACTGCATAATTAACTAATTTAGTTCCCATTGATTTCATGTTGATTTCATGTTGATCATAATTTTTGCTTTAAGGCGGCAGGTATTTTCTAGGCTGTAGCTTAACAAGAATAAAAAGACTGAATGCTAAATGCTCAGCTACCATTAACTAGATGTGTATCACTAAGTTAAACAAGGTTACTCTGATCTACACTAGCAAAAGGACTGCCCATGGTAGCCTGTACATCAAAAGAGCAACATATTCCTCTGACTTCTGAACTTTCAGCATTATTACTTTTAGATCAAAACTGGTAATTCAAGGAACTTTGTATGTTACTGAAAAACCATTAAGGCGCCTCTCATACTATACAAATCTCTCACAAATAGCCATGTTCACACAGGTATCCCTATAGACAGATACACACACAAACATACACATATTGAAACATTTCACTTGAACCACTTAAGGTTGCTGCACACACTGCAGTTAAAAAACTACAAAACCAACAATGCTATATTTAACACCCTCAGAGAGAGGTATACCCTCATCCCTGTCCATGAAGGGCACAATGCAGATTTAAAGGATACACCTCCCAATCCACTTTTTAACAAGATGGTTATCTAACCCCATAAATGTCAGCTACAGAAGATGGATTTGTTGGAAGATGGGTCATTTAGCAAAGGAGGCATCTGCAGAGGGGGAGGGAACAGGATGGGAGTCTGGAACATCAAAAGGCAGGGGCTGTTTGCAAACCAAGGCTGTGAGAGCTGGCTGCAGAAATAAGCAGACAGCTATGTCCACTGCTACATCTACAATGAATGAGGAGGAAACCTCCCAAGCCAAAAAAGCTTAAAAGAAGGGTCCCAGCATTTCAAAGCAATGACAAGCTGCCTTACCAGTATCTGTGAGAGGACAAACAGATACATGCTGTGTCCAGGCATTAATTCATTCCACCGGGCAGCCCAACCAAGCAGTGCTGTTTTCTGGGAGGTTTTTGGGGACTGCTCCTTCCTGTTCAGCTGTCCTTGTTGTCCTTCAGCTTCGTCCATCGACTCCATAACAGCTGGATTGGAAAGACCTTCGCATGAAAATGACATGTACAAGGAATGAATAGTATGTAACCTTTGCAGCCACCACGGAGCCTGCAAGGGCTATTGTTTTCCTAGAGACGATGGTTACCTCTCAGATCTGCATCAGTAAGTGCAGCTCAGAATTGTGAGCGTCACACTCTTTTAGTGCAGCTGTATTCACCTGCCTTCGTCAGAAAAAAGTGAGTGTGGGCGGATAAATTATTTTCCCTTTCTTTCCGGAGGTGCAGATTCTGGGCTTTGTTGTTAATAAATTCTCATTTACATTGCTGCACCTTTTCATTTTTACTTTTTAAAAGGAACCATCTGTGCTCTTTCATAGCGCCACTCTTCCCAGCTACATGGTGGCAGAGAAGCCATGTTGTCCCTCCCCGCCTCAATTTCCCTGTTTCCCCTTACTTGTCTTATAAGTTTCTGAGGTAGAGACTGTTTCATGTTACGTGTCTGAATAGTGCTCAAGGGCTCTGGATTTTGGCTGAGTATCCTAAGGCACTAATAAAATACTTTATTCTAATAACCTACTTCTCGGATGGATTCATACTCAAGAGCTATTTAATAATGTTGTAATGCTATTCCATTCAGTGGAAATATGCACTGGAGTGCCTAGTCCCTCAGTAACAGTATTTTGAACACAGTCTGTGTAGATGTAAATTAATTTACAAGCTAAAAGGAGTGAAAGATCAGACCCATTTGATGTAAGGACTACTGATTTACATCTTTCTACATGAGGAAAGCCCCAAGGCTATGTACAACATTACAGCCTTAAGCCTAAGCCAGCCATCTGTGCCCCAGGGGAAGGGCACATTGTTGGCCCCTCTATGGTTTTTTGAGGTCAGATTTCTACAAAATGTTCATCTCAGACATTTCTCCAAATGTCTCACAATAGTAACTCTAAGTCAAATAAGCATCCATAAACTAGCCACAGCTCTAATTAGGCAAATGAAACATAGGATCAGTGTATCAGCTGAGGGTCTGGCTGTTGGTAAAGATTAATGGAAATGTCCCATTCTGATTTCTAAGATACAAAAATGTGAGGGTAGACAGGAACATAAGAACTCATTCGTGCTCTCTGATTGTTCTCCCTCCCCTCACTGAAACAGACCTTAGGACAACCACCCCTGTGCAAGAGAACGAGGTGTTTGGGAAATGCTGATGGCCTCCCCTACAAGGTTCTCCATTCCCACAGCTGCCCAACAACAAGAGAGTTGTCACTGTGTAATTACTGGGGAGACCTGGAGACACAAGAAGCAGCACCTGCAAGGTACTACCAGGTACCTCCCAGGAGCTCAGGTTACTGGTTTCTCATTTTCAAAATATCTCCAGTCAGTTTATGACAGGTAGTGACCTCAGCAGGGTATGCTGGGTATAACTGGTTATATGTAGCCTTTTTCATTGTCTTTACACATGTATTTCTCAGGAAGCATAGACACATCTAGACTGACATATACCCATGTACGTCATACCACAAGTATATGCTGAAATTAACGATTTGCCAGGAAAGACTCAGCACAGTAATTTGCATAAACACTATCAAAATTTCATATTAAAAACAGGTCAATAAAACATGGAAAAATATGGAACTAAAAACATAAAAAGAGAACCTTCAACAATCCCAGCCTGTATTTCCCACAGAGGTAAAAAACTTCCTTCACTTTCATCCACATGTCTAATGCTAGAAGACAACTGCTTGACAATAGCACTTTTCAAAGAAAAGCAGACAGTTTCTGCAATATAGCTCAAGAGATCATGGGAGCGCTATCTCCCTGTCCTCCAGGCTCCAGATGGTAATCTACAGTCCATGACACCACCACCCCCCTCCCCTCCAAGAAACACAGAGAGCCCACAGTCCTTAGTGTCCAGGGACACCGACCATATGCTTAACACCTGACTTCTGACACCATGCTACGTTGAGCTGGACTCAAAGTTCTCCAGAAGGACAACACAGTGGCCACATTAAGCAGCCACAGTTAAGGCTGCCTAAATACTTTCAATGCTCACCTTTGTTTTAATTTTCTATAATGGGCCAAAACTTGATAGTTAAACTTGAAAATTTTCAAGCTTCCAAACTGCTTAATGGCTCACTGGATTTGGACAGGAACTGAGGGGAAAACCCTTGTTAATGTTTGCCAACTTTTTTTTCTGCTATTTTTGCAGGATATTTATGCTCCGTGTTTTAGAACAAGAATTTGAAATTTAGCAGGGACAGAATTATGTCAAAAATTATTTTTGCCATCCATGCAAAAAGACATGCACCTGTGACTGAGATTTCAACCTTCAAAAATAACTATTTACATATAGTTTATTATGGCTTGCTCCTAAAGTCTCGTTTTAAGTCCTACTTTTCCTTTTTCTGCATTAAATAATGCACCTCTGTCCCTAAGAATGGCTAATGAACCTGAATCTTTGGGAAGACAACCAGAACAAGGAGCCAGGGAATGCAGATTCCAAGCTCAGCTTTCAATTGTTTTTTTAAAACTTACAGTATTTCATAAGACCTTTTTTTTTAACTGACCAACAGCTCATCTACCTGCCTTATGCAGCAGGTAAACTGAATTTCTTTGTTTCATATCTGTAACAGCCTGAGATTTTACAAGGTCACTTCTGCCTAGGTTGGAAACAGAACCCTGACTCTAATATGATGATGTGAAGGCTGCTTAACCACGCGCCCTGTGGAACAAAGACGTCAAAGTTAGGGGACCACTCTGTGCCTGTAGCCATGGGCATCTATGCCTCTCCACAGCCCAGAAGCCCAGTTCCCGGTACTGTAGTGTTGTCTAGCAACAGCTGTACAATTGTAGGAGTCACATTCTCCTTCTTATGACTGCCCTATTTGAAGGACAATAGACTTCTACTTTCAATTCTTTTCATAAGGTAGAGATCTGGTCTATGGATGTAGGAGTCCAGGATTCCAGCTCTGCTGAACTGATACAGTTCAGCTGTTATCAATAGGTGTTTTCACTAATACAGTAAAAGACAATGGGGCACCAGGTGAAGAACTAAAATAATGGAGACCTGTCTGAATTCACACATATAAATGTACAGATTAAGATTTATGTCTTGGGTATACAAAGAAGGCACCTTGGATTAAAGTCCACTCAAAAAATTGCTACTCCAAATCAGAAAAGATTACAGTTTAACAAACATAATGATGCCCACTTAGGGTTCTGTATTGATTTAACTACATCAGTTTTAAATAATACTTCAATTACTATTCACACTTCATCTTGCAATCCTATATTTCTGTATTATTTGCCTTAATGGGCCCTGGTTTCTTTCAGTGCACAGATTAGGTAATAAATGAGTGAGATATCAGTAAAGTTTTCTTGTGTCAAGGTCAGTGCAAAGGTCTTGAGACAGTTGACAAGGATTACTACATCCAGGAGGAGTGAATTAAGCCTCTCCTCTCCTATTGATTTGACTGACAGTGAAATCTTACAGCCATGTGATATCCTCCTGAATTCCTGCATCATGGAGGATTAGGATTCAAGTTCCACAGGTACTTCTGCTTTGATACAGGGCTATGCTTGACAGAATAGTCTCTTTGGTAGAAGAATTAAAAGGTGTCTGACATCTGTAGCAGCCATATGGTTTCTAAAAGCAACTTAAAATATCAGAACGGCACCATAAACTTAACCTTATTCTTGCTGTTCAGGGAAAGCAACTTTCTGGATCAAACCAGATTACCCTGTATTCTTTCCTTACATGTAGCCACCAGTACCAGCTGCCAAAAATAAGTGGTAGAACACTTTGCTATGGAATAACCTATACAGGGAAACATCTTTGTCCACTCACAAGGTAACAGCTGGCTTCTGTAACTCAGACAATGCCCATTTTAAAACCCCTGTGCCTCTATCTCTTCCTTTTTCTAACTGCATATATGTGGGTCCATCAAGGGCAGAAGAATGAAACAAGAACACATATATATACTCTCAGAAAAACATGCGCTTAGAGTACTAGACTTAACTGAAACACTAAAAGGCAATGTAATAAAGGTAAGTGAGTCAACAGTGCCTTGCAGTAACAAACATGCCATGATCCAATCGAATGCTGCTGTGGGTGAGGCATCAGCAGCTCTGTAACTGAACTAGAGCCTTCAGAGAAAAACAAAACAAAAACCAGCCTCCCAGGACCACATATCCTGGCTGTACTTCCTAATGAAGTTAGCACTTTAAAAAGAACTTGTGTCCTCTCTTGGGCATGGGTGCTAACACTCAAGGAACTGACACAGCTCCACTTGCAGACTTAATTTAACAATGTATTTTTGAGATGAAAAAAAGACTCGTTCCTTACCAAAAGGATTTTTATAATAGAAGATGTAACCCAGCAATGAAAATATAGTGCTTATACAGTTATTAAACTTTTACTTATATCCATCACACTGAGCCCGTGGGAATTATGCTTCTGAGGGATGGGGTGGTACTGCCTTTTCACTGGGAAATACAAACTTTGTTAATGGTGGCTGCTGCTTCATTCGTTGTGGAATCTCCAAGCTCTGTGGAACTACCTGCCAGACACAGAAGATAGGAGGGAAAAATGGGCCTCACCTGTTCTGCCAACTCTCAAGCTGCAGCATTCAACATGCCACAGCAGCTCAGCTGCATTGTCCCACCTTTGTTTTACAAGTGTGGAATTCCATATCCCTCTGAACCTGTCTAGATCATCATAATTGCTGCTCATGGCAAGAATTTACTCTACAGGAAGGGACCATAGTGTGGAAGCATTGCAAAGTATGAACATGCTAGCAACACTTCACACCAGAGTCCTAAAACCACATACAGCCTCTACATCTTCAGATACCAAAATGCAACTGCCTACTGAAATTGTTGTCTCCGATTTCCATCTAACTGCTGGGGAGACCTGCTATTGATTAAGAGAACAGTTCAGGAACATATACTACCGATCTGGGTCTGCAAATCAATTGCTTATTTTCACATCCACCTAAATTGCATATGCAGGACATAGCCCTGGCATTGTACTTCATGTATCTG